ACAGCAGAGCCCCAAGGAAGAGAGGGTCATTTAAAGCTGGAAAGGAAAGAGTTGATTTAAAATAAGAATACTTGAAGGCAAATCTAGAGAGACAGAAAGGAGACTCATAGACTGGTAGTTGCCAGGGGACTAACTGTAAATGGGCACAAGGGATCTTTTTAGGGTGTTAGAAATGTTCCAAAACTAAATTGTAGAGACAGTTGCACAACTTAGTAAAGTTACTACAAATTATTGAAGTATGTGCCTTAAGTAGGTGAATTTCATAGTAAGTAAAGTTTACCTCAATGAAGGTGTTTGTTAAAAAAATTAAACTGTTGAAGTGCCTGCCTGGCTCAGTCAATAGAGTGTGTGACTCTCGATCTCCAGGTTGTGAGTTGGAGCCCCATGTTGGGTGTGGAGCCTACTTAAAAAAAATTGAACAGCTGAGTAAGCACCTCCTCAAAAGAAAGTGATGGCGTGTCTCATCCTCCCGTGGGAAAAGTGTCAAACTTTCAGTGTGGCCTGATTGGTTAAAACACACTTCTGGGACTTTAACTTCCCCTGATAGTAATCTGCTTTTTTTTTTTTTTTTTTAATTTTTAACATTTATTTATTACCTTTGAGAGATAGAGATGGAGGGGCATAAAGAGAGATGACACAGAATCCGAAGCAGGCTCCAGGTTCTGAGCTGTCAGCACAGAGCCAGATGCAGGGCTCAGACCCATGAACTGCAAGATGATGAGCTGAGCGGAAGTCGGACGCTTAACCGACAGAGCCACACAGACGCCCCGGCAACTCTGGTGACACGTTTCCAAAGGTCCAAACATTTCCCAAAGGTCTAAAGGTGAAACAGTCTTCCCCTTAGTCTTTGGCTCCCCTATTCCGGGTAGACCTTCCAAAAGCCTCACAAGGGTCATGGCTGAGCCCATTCTGAAGAAGCTGTAACATTTCTGCTTGAGCCACCATCTCCCCGGTCCTTATATAAGCCAGAAGGAGACCAGAGACATGGAGAGCTGGATTTCCGGAGCAGGCGGGTGTGTAGCCGTGCGAGCCCTGGCCACGGGCCCTCTGGGCTGAGTCCACCAGCGACAGTGTGGGGGTGTAGAGCATCATCAGGTTCCTCACAGGTGCCAACCAGCTTCCTTTTGCACTTAACTGTGCACGTGAATCACCTGGGGAACTTGCTGAACTGCAGATTGGGATTCAGAAAATCTGGAGCAGGGCCTGAAATTCTGCATTTCTCACACGCTCCCGGGTGAGGCCTTGGCTGCCAGTCCACGGACCACACTTTGAGTAGCACCTCATGTTGAGTGGTCCCGCCGTGAGTCACACCTTTGTTTCTGCGAACTTGTTGGGGGTGCCGATTTTTGAGTCTCATCCCAGATCTACCAAGTAAGACTCTGGATTTTAACAAAATATCTGGGAGATTTAGTTGCACATTGACTTTGGAGAAGAACTTCCCAGGACTCCGATTTACCTAGAGCCAATGGATGTGTATAGGAAACCATGATTTTAAAGCACTCAGCTTATATAAAGTCTGCATCCTATGCATTGTTAAAAAGGAGCATCATGGGGCGCCTGGGTGGCTCCATCGGTTGAGCATCTGACTTTGGCTCAGGTCATGAGCTCGCAGTTTGTGAATTCGAGCCCCGTGTCAGGCTCTGCTGACAGCGGAGAGCCTGGAGCCTGCTTTGGATTCTGTCTCCCTCTCTCTCTGCCTCTCCCCCCTTACGCTGTGTCTCTCTCTCTCTCAAAAATGAATAAATGTTTAAAAAGTTTTAGTAAAAGGAGTACCATTCCCTTAAATGAGGGGGATATCTCCTTAGAAAACCTTAGGGCTGGAGAAGGGAGATGGATATGGGTCTCTGGAGAGCCATCTTGCAATGCGCGGACAGACCCACCAGAGGGAGCCAAAGCCCATACGGTAACTGCTGGGAAGGACGTGCGGAAGAGGAGGAACGTCTTCCAGGTTTCTGTGTGTGTTGACTTAAGAGCGCGCCCAGCGCTGCACAGGCAGGGGCTTCTTGGTAGCCGTGTAAAATTAGGCTGGAAAATATACTTAAAGAAAAAAATGGGGGAAATAATTGAGCATTACAGCTAGACACTGAGAGTAGGAAGAACGTTACAAGAAAAACCCCCAAGGTTTTAGAGAATATAGGAGAATGTCATTATAAATATATATGTAACATGATCTATGAGAGTGTCGTTCCTCCCTGGCCTAGGAAATGGTTTCTTAAACCAGGCATTGGAAGCACTAACCAACCAGGGAAAGACCGGTAAGTTGGAGCATGGCTAGCATAGCCTTTGAGATGGAGATGGCCATGATGATGGCCTTTGAGATGCCTTTGAGAAAGGAGAGGGCCAGGGTGCCTGGGTGGCTTGGTGGGTTAAGTGTCTGATTCTTGATTTTGGCTCAGGTCAAGATCTCACGGTTTGTGGGTCCAGGCTGTGCACCAGGTTCGGAGCCTGCTTGGGGCTCCCATTCTCTCCCATTCTTTCTCTCTCTCTAAATAAATACTTAAAAAAAAAAAAAAAGGAGAAGGCCAAGTCAACAGTAGGAACGGGTGTTTGCCACATATTGAACCCAAGAATACAAATCGAAGTCCCACAAACCAACAAGAAAACAAAATCTTATTAGAAAAATGGCCAAAAGACTTGAACAGACATTTCACAAAGGCTAAGCTCAATGGCCAATGGGAAACGTGTTCGACATCGTTTGTACCTGGAAAAATGCAAATTAAAGCTGCCATGAGATACCGCAGCACACCCACTGGTGTTGACAGGGGGGAATTGCTGGCGGGACTGTGCGCTGGTGGAAACTTTGGAATGGAGCTGAGAATACTCTAGGAAATGGAAGCTACACATATCCCAGGACCCAGCACTTGCACCCCTAGATTTGCACCCAACAGAAAAGCATGCACATAACCCAAGGAGGCATGTATGAGAATGCTCCCCGAATCAGAAGCAGAAGACAGATTAACAAATCATAACAAAATCATGCTAAGCAACAGTGATAATGAACTAAAATCAAGCATTTTAGTAAAAGAGTCTGAAAAACCTAATGCTGAGGGGGGAAAAAGGCAGACACAAAGGAATACATACTATGTGACTCCTTTACTACAAAGTTCAAAAATGGGTGCAATTATGTATAATAATGGGAAACCTCCCATTAAAAAACTATAAGAAAACATTTAAATGTATCTTTATAAACCTGATAAATATAAGTAGGTTTGATGGTTAATTTTCTGTGTCAACTTGGCTGGGCCCAGTTGTATTTTAGTCTGATCCATTATTCTGGGTGTTTCTGTAAGGATGTTTTCTGGATGAGATTAATATTTTAATAGGTGGACTTTGGGTAAAGCAAACTGCCCTTTATAACATGAGTGGGCCTCATCTAATCAGCTGAAGGCCTGAATAGAAAGACTGACATACCCCAGGCCGGCCCACTCTGCAAGTTTTGGACTTTCCAGCCTCCAGAATCATGTAAGCCAATTCCTTAAAATCTCTCTCTCTCTCACTCTCTCTCTCAATCTCTCTCTCTGTACAACCCTAACTAATACAGTAGGTAAAAATATTTGAAATGTATATAAAAGGTAAGGGGCTGCAGGGCAAAGACATAAAATAAACATGAAAGTAAAAGATAGCAGATTAAAATGATGGCAATGGAAAAGGAAACATGGAAAACAAGCCAGCATATGAGGTTGATGACTGTGAATAAAAAGAAGCACAAAACCAGGTAACAGAAATGAAACCTAATGTAAAACTGATCATGGAGAAATATCTTTAAGAAAAAAAAAAAAAAAAAGCTTGGGAATAACAATGAGAGAGAGAGGGGAAGAGAGAGAAGGAAGTGGGCCAAAGGCCGGTTAGTGGAACTGAGGGCAGGAAGAATCAGTTTCGCTACAGTGTCAAGACCTGCTGCCATGGGGACACCCTCCCGGGCAGTGGCAGAGCCCTGAATTCTGGAGAAGCTGGATCCTGGATCCGTACATTTTGGGATGGGGCTGTAACTCCTCCATCTAAACATTTAGAGGTGACCGGGCTGCTGGTACATGGCCAGACCTAACGTAACCCCTATCAGCCCACAGCCCAGAGTAATCACTGCTGATATCTCTGCAAATTTCCTGCTAGTCTTTTCCCCTCTTGCATATTTGTGTGTTTACAGTATCCAGATCTTCTTCTATATACATTTTGCATTCTGCTTTTTTTAAAAGATCACATTACATCAGGGGCGCCTGGGTGGCTCAGTCAGTTGAGCATCCGACTTTGACTCAGGTAATCATCTCATGGTTCGTGGGTTCGAGCCCCGCATCGGGCTCTGTGCTGACAGCTCAGAGCCCGGAGCCTGCTTCAGATTCTGTACCTCCCTCTCTCTCTGCCCCTCCCCTGCTCACGCTGTCTATCTCTCTTTCAGGAATAAATAAAATCATTTTAAAAAAAAGATCACTTACATCAAAAATACATTATTGGAAATCTTGTCAAAGACTTGCTTTTTGATGGCTACATAATATTCCATCATATATCATTCATTGGTTGCTTTGCAAATATTTGTTGAGTGTGTATAATGTGTCCAGTGTTGTGTGGCTTGTGCAAAGCACTGTTCATTAGCAGCTAGTGTGGAGCAAATGGGTGAGTCACTGAATGCAATGTAGGAGGTATTTTCTTTGCTGCTACAAGGCGCTCATTGCTGATTCCTGGGTTTGGAGCTGTTCCAGGTAATTGAACTTGCCTGTGGAAGAGGGGAAACATCATGGTATCTTAGATCACTCCCATGGGGATGAGCACCGGCCCATGTTCTGAACATCCCTGCTCTGAATTTCCTGGTGGAGGCAAAGGAGAGTTTAGGACTGACGCTTGTCAGAGACAAACAACACTTCCGTGAGCTGCTATTTCCTTTTCAAATTTTTCAGTGGGTAACACACTCACATGGTTCTAAATTCAAGACAGAATAATGTGTGCAACAAAAACACTTCTACCACTTCCTCATCTGCCGGATACCCACCCCAGGTAGCCATTTTTATTAATTTTTTCTGTGTATGAATCTAGATTTTCTTTTTGCAAATACAAATATACATGCCTATTTGTTCCTGGCCAACCTAAAAGGGGGTCTACAACTTATATACTTTTGCACCTTCCTTTTGCATTCAATCATATTTCTTGGAGAGATTTCCATATAAATACAGATCTTCCTTCCTTGATCCTTTATTACTCTTGCGTACTATTCCAGCATATGGTTGGCCACAACTCTAACCGATCCTTATTAATGGACATTTGAGTTTGTTATTAGGCTTGTCCCAAACAGGCTGTGTTGACCAACCTTGTGCATATTTTTTTAGACAAATAACTGCTGGGTCAAAGGGCAAATGCATTTGGAACGTTGGATATATGTTGCCAAATCACCTTTGGGAGGGGTTGTGCAAATGTGCATTCTCACCAGGATGGTCCCTTACTGAGTCAGCAAGCTGAGCGTCCGCTCTGCACATGGCCCTGGGCTAAACAAGAGCAACACATGGATAAGATGCCGCTGGGACTTCCTTTTGGGCAGAGAGAGAGAGTGACTTACTGGACCACCTAGTCGGTTTGTGATAACGTGCTCCAGCATGGGACAAGGACTATGAGAATGTGGACAAAGGTGTGATTTGTTCTGCAAGGACGTCTTCAGGGGAGGCACAGGTGAGCCGGGCCCTGAAAGACCAGCAAGTTGCCAAGGGGAGGGGAGCTGTGTGAGACGTGGTGCTGGGGGGTGGGGGGGGGGCATGAACAGCAGCTGAGAAGCTGATTCCAAGAGCCGCGGATCGAGTACTTTGATGGAGCTGGAGGAATTAAGTTTGGAGAGGCAAGCAAAGAGAGACTGAGTGCTCACCCTGAAGGAGCCAAGCAGTCTTTGTGGGCTTGTAAGTGGCAACGACGTGGTTAGATGGTCCCCCAGGCACGTGCTCTGCCCACTCTATTCCCCGGGACTCCAACCTTCCAAGCACACGGTCGTGTGTGTCCATTTCACCCCAGGGCGTCATCTGATAACCTAAACTAGGACCTCACAAAAGCCCCCAAGCAGGCCAGTTATGATGCAAGAAGAGTTTGTGACTATGTCACTGTTCTAGAAGGAAAGTCCAGGCAGTGACACCTCCTATCCTAGCCTATTGCCAGATTATGATCAGGGAATGGGAGAAAGGCTGCCAGAAGGTTGGGAAACAGAGGCCCCAAGAAAGGAAGGCTGCAGAGGGCAGGTGGAGAAGGAATGGAGGGCCAGTCAGAATGTATAACACAAGCGATGCCTTTCTGGAGAAGGACCCCCTGTGCTCTCAGTGGGGTCTGTGTTCTACTTCACCGCTGGGGTGAGCGGAGCCTGGGCTTCGGGTCCTCTCCTTCCCACCCCTCCCAGAGGGAGCCCACTCCGGTCACAGCGGCCCTCGCCTGACCAATGCAGGGTCGCCCTTTGTGAGGCTTCCCGCCCCCCAAACGAAAAGTAGGAACACCCTTCCTGGGGTTCTCCTACGCCTGCCTCTTTGCCTTTCAGGGTATGGACCAAATTCTACAAATCAGATCCACGCATTGCCTTTGGGAAATACTCCCCCTTGGAAAAAGAGATCCTAGTAAGTGTCCTGAAGCTTCCTCACAGGGAGGCCCCGCTGAAGCCAGGCAGTCAGGCTGGGAGGCGTAGAGTCAGAGGTTCAAGGCCCACCAGCCACGGAGATACAAGGTTCCCAGTGGCCAGGAGCTGGCCAAGTCCGCTCGTGGCTTCCCACACACGCATAGCAAATAGTCTCTTGTCTCAGAGTCCTGACCAGGGATCTCACTGTGAGGGCTGAGGCTCATAGGTGAGGAGTCAGGACTGGAACCCTGGCCTGTCTGCCCCACAGCTCCCACCACACGGGGGCCCAGACACGCAGCCGCAGGTGGGGAGAGGGGCCACCAGGCAATTCTTTCCGGGGGCGCCCCCTGCCCCTGTCCCGCTGAGATTTTTAATGGTCCGATTGGCGTTGTCAGCGTCTGGGAGGTGTTCACACCACAGCGGCAAGAAGGTTTCTGACTCACAAGCAAGAGGAAGAACGGAAAGCCCTCAAAGAGCTGCAGTCGCTGTCTTCGGACTATAAACGGGCTCTGGGATTCCGAACAGAGCACTCCCCTCCCTGTGTCACCTGCAGGCCCCTGGAGAAAATATGGACGGCCAAGGTGGTCGTGCCTGCGGAGGAGTTGAGGATGCCGCAGCGCGAGCAGCTCACTGTCATCAAGCACATAGAACGGATGCAGCTCGCTCGAGCCCTTCGGAGCAAGCACCTCCTGCCCCACGTCGAGAGGTTCAAGTGCTCTTCATTTCTGTCCGGGGGCGGCCTGGGCCCAATGGCAAAAGACAAGACCAGGGAAGATGAAGGCAATGAGGATGAAAATTTCTATGACAACGCCAAGCAAAGGGAGAGAGGCGAGGCAGAGGTCAAAGCCATGAGGAGACAAGAAATAAAAATGAACGTCGTGTTCAAGTCAGAAGAACCGAAAACACGTATCACACACCATCCGAATGATCGGAAGCCATTCTTCCCCACCAAGAAAGTGGAGCGGTCCATCACTGGCCTAACCAACCGAAATATTTTCCACTTAGCTGAGTTCCCTGGTGACCTAATGCTAATGAGTCAGGATTTTATTTCCCGGGGAGCCCTTCCCACGGGTGTGACGAAGGCCAGCCTCGTGGGGAAAGGCCACTTCCGGAAAGGGCAGGAGTACAAAGCTCCTTAGTATTAAAGGCTGACTGGTTTCCACGGTAACCAAGTGTCCTGGTCCTTTTCGCTTAGGCAGCTCTGCCCCCGGGTCCTGGGGTCTCCAGGGCTTCTCGGGGTGATACCTAATAGCAGAGGCTTCTCACTTTCAGGCATCTCTTCACTCTTAGCTCTCGGCTGGCACCCCCACCCCACAGCCCAGGTCTTTCTAGCATGCGGGTCCCTCCATTATGCCTTACTGCCAGGGGCCTGGGTCAGTTACCCCCTCCTGTGAAACAAATCACCCTCAAATTTAGTGGTTTAAAACAACAATCGTTCATTTAACTTGAGATTTTGTGGGCCAGCAATTTAGGCTGGAGCTCAGATGGGTTCCTCATGTGTCCGCAGTCAACCAACCGCAGGTCAGTTTGGTGACTCTCCCGAGGCTTGACAGCTATCGGCTGGGTCAGCGGAAGGGACTGGGCCACGCGTTTCTTCCTGCAGCAGGCTAGCCCAGGCCGTGCACAGGGCTACTGCAGGGTCCAAGAGAGGAAGTGGATGTTTGCAGGCCCTCTTGAAGTCAAGACTCAGAACTGGCACACCATCACTTTGTCACATTCTGTTGGCCAGAGCAAGATACGGGGGTGAGCAAGGGGACTTCATCTCTGGACAGGAAGAGCCGCAGAGTCATACTGCAAAGGGCATGAACACAGGGAAGCAGGTATGGCTGGGACCGCTCTACCACAGAGTCCCTGGAGCTGTGGCCAGCGTACAGCCCAGGTGGGGAAAAGAATGCGACTCAAAGAGAAGGTTGCCCAGACAGAAAGTCTAGAAGCCGGTTCCATGCTTCCCACTTCTTGCTTAGGTACGCGGCTCCTACCTAGGAAGGCAGAGCCCGCCTTTTCCTGGCCTTACCTCTGCCGCCCTGCTTTTCAATCTAACCAGGTGACCTATGACCTCCATCTTCCTTATCAAGCCTAATGCAGGCACGGATGCCGTGTGCACAGCTCCTCTGGGCGTGTCTGCAGGTGGGTCCAGGGTCTCTGAGGTCAGCTCTTGCTGCTCCCATTAAGGCCCTGCCTGTGCCCAGAGGCAGCAGATCCCAGAGTCAGCAATTGGGGCAGCGAATATGGCATCTGATAAGCAGGACACACTCATTTCTTATTTATATCTGAAGCACAGAGAGACCTCGCAGTTTGCTATGCTCTGTCCTCAGCAATCTGCACTCAGTTGGAAAGGTGCTGAACTTGCATGGGTGGCCCGCAGCCTCCTGGGACGAGGCCAGCCTTCTCTCTGGCTCCCTCCACATGAGTTGGGCACCAGGTTCTCATGTCTGCTCCTTAAGAAGCACTGCTGCCCTCCCAGCCGAGGGTAAGCCAAGGGGGCTCCCCTCTCTCCCAGTTTCCAGGATAACTCTACTGGTCACAGGGACAAGTTAAAAGAAATACATCACTTGAAGTATTGTGTGTGTGTGGGTAGCTGCTGTGGCTCAGGATTCAGGGCGTCATGAGTACACAAGAAATGTGCACACACGAGCCATGTCTTTTCACCACGTCTGCTTTATTCAGTCATAAAGCAAGGTTGTTAACATTCTAAACTCAATGACATTTCACTCGGCGTTTGACTTGGCTTCATACACATCACACAAAACAAAACAAGTCATACATCAGACCATAAACAACAAGGGTAGGAAGACAGCGTGTCTGTGAGTGCATCATTGGTCTGTGGACTTAGTCTGGTCCTGGCCAGCCCTTGGTGTTCTCTGCTTATTATTACGTTCAAGCAATGGGAGATCCCAGTGATCAGAGAGCAGCTGGGCAGGTCCTTCAGGGGCAGTTGCAGTTCTTATGCGGTCAGATGTGGGGTCAGGGTCTGGAGAGTCTGACAGTTTGCTGCCAGTTTTCCCTTTTTTAAATTATTAATTTATTAATTATTCATTATTAATAAGTTTATCTATTTTGAGAGAGAGAGAGAGAGCATGCACGAGCAGGTGAGGGGCAGAAAGAAAAGGAGAGAGAGAGAGAGAGAGAGAGAGAGAATCCCAGGCAGGCTCTGTGTTGTCAGCACGGAGCCTGACTCAGAGCTCAGACCCACAAAGTGTGAGATCATGACCTGAGCCAAAATCAAGAGTTGGATGCCCAACTGACTGAGCCACCCAGGTGCCCCATTCTTTTTTTTTTCTTGAAGTTTATTTATTTATTTTGAGGCAGACAGAGAGAGAGAGAGAGAGAGAGTGAGCATGCACGAGCTCAAGAGCAGGGAAGGGGTAGAGGGAGCGGGAGAGAGAGAGAGAATAACAAGCAGGTTCACACAGTCAGTGTGGAACCCCATGCAAGGCTCGAATTTACGAACTGTGAGAGCATGATCGTAGCCAAACTTGAGGGTCGGATGCTTAACTGACTGAGCCACCCAGGTGCCCTTAAAAGTCCTCCCTTTGAAAAGTTTAATCCTTTAGAGACCTCTTCTGGTTCTAGTGATTATCAGTTCCCGGTTCTTTCAGCCTCTCATGGCCTTGCTAATTATCAGTTCTTGTACCTCCAGTACACTCTGGTTTTAGCGATATCTATTCTCAGTTACTGTCCTTGGCTGTTTACATCACTGCGTGACATGAGTGACCATCTGGCTATCTATGCTATTCCTTGTCTCAGCCTAAATGTCACCTTCCCAGAGACAAAGATCACCAAGTGCTTAATATATCTGGGCTTCATTGACAAGATGAAACAAATGGCCTGCCCTAAGCTTCACCCCCCACTCCCACCGCTTGGTGGGGAGGAAGTAGAAAAAGACAGTTACAACGATTTTTCAGCACAATGTCCCTCAAAGGCTGAATATCTGCTGAACTAAGCCAATTTCCTTGTTCCTTGCTAGGGAAGTCTTAGTGACCTTGAATTAACTTGGACGCTTCTAGAGGGCTCCTGGAAAAACTCAAAAGCATTGGTTCTCTCTCCTTATAAAAATTAAGATATGAAACTAATTAGGCTTATTTGACATGTTAAATTACATGGAAATATTGTCTAATAAGAAGTGATGTCTGACCCCTTTAGGTTATATAGGAATGGGTACGAATTGTTAATATAAGTTTTCTAGAAATTATATGGCATCCCTGGAAATCTGTCCTGGTGTAATGTCATCAGTCATTAATTCTAGTTGTTAACTTAAAATGCTATGTGTCCCAGAAATAAGGAAATCTCTTTATCTGTTGCATTGTGATGAACTCCCATCAGATCTTTAACCATGGCCATTTTTAAGGCTTTTGTGTCTTACAGATCTTTATTCTTTTACTCGGATGCTTTTGCGAAAGAGCTCCATTTTCAAAAAAACTCATTGGAGGAACATGTCAGGTGGAGGTTTCTGATAACTTTAAGATCATACCACTGAGCTGGGTGAGAAATTCGAGAATTCTAATGGAACACCTGGGTTCATAAAACCACTAACAAAAGATCAAAATCAACAAGAATTAATTATATCAGACTGAATAAACTTCTGAGGATGATTATGACTTTTGTTTTAAAATATCACTAGTGTCAAAAAAAATAAAAATAAAAATAAAATATCACTAGTGTCGGGCTCCCTGGAGGCTCAGTCAGTTGAACGTCCACCTTGGCTCAGGTCATGATCTCACAGTTCACGAGTTCAAGCCCTGCATCAGGCCCACTGCTGTCAGCGTGGAGCCTCCATCGGATCCCCTGTCCCCCTCTCTCTCTGCCCCTCCCCTGCTCACTCTCTCTCTCAGAAATAAACATTTAAAAACATATCACTAGCTTCTTAATGTTTTGTTTTCCAGATTTGAGAAGACATGTTTTTCTTTTCTCTTAGCTCTTCATGACTTGTAGCAATTTGGTAAAGTCTACTTGTGTGAATTAAAATGAAATAATTACTTTTTTCCCCCTCCAGAATTTGGGACTTCTTAGTGAGTGTTCTTATTTTCATGGCAATATAGTTATTTGCATAAGTTCAATAAGAACCTGATTTATCTCCTTATAACAGGATACAATATGAAACATTGGTATATTACCAAGGATGGAATGTCATTTTTGACATGAATCAGATGTGACCAGACAGCTTTAAAAGCTAAGGTTGACTTTATGGAGCTAATAAAGCCCCTTAAAAAAAGCTGGGCTCGGGGGCGCCTGGGTGGCTTAGTCGGTTAAGAGTCCGACTTTCGCTTAGGTCATGATCTCGCGGTTCGTGGGTTCGAGCCCCGCGTCGGGCTCTGTGCTGACTGCCAGCTCAGAGCCTGGAGCCTGTTTCAGTCTGTGACTCCCTCTCTCTCTGACCCTCCCCCTGTTCATGCTGTCTCTCTCTCTCTCCTAGAAATAAATAAAACATTAAAAAAAAAAAAAAGCTGGGCTCGTACCCTACTTACAGTGTTTCTGTAAACCTGCTCAGCTGACTAAGGAAGGTCACTTCCTGGGAGGCCCAGGAACCCCAGGAGAGCTTGGGGGCCTCAAGAAGAGTGCAACTAACCCACACCTATGGGTCTCATAGGCAAAATCTGATCATGAGTCCTTGGCTTAGCTTCTTAGCCTTGAGAGGCTTTAAAAAATCTAATCTCCTGAAAAGTTCTGGCAAAGCAGATTAAAAAGAATTCATACAGTCACCACAATTCTTGTTGCACTTACATAAATAATCAGCCCATATTCACTGAGACTAAACTTATTTTGCAAATCTTATTTTGATTATCTCTGAGAGACAAGGGGGTAACACTAGAAGGATAGTTGTATTTTAATAGAAAACTACAGCACACCCTATAGGTGGTAGATTCGCCTTGTTCCTTGGCTTTAAGGTGTTGTTATCTACCCATAAACTGGACCCAATCTTGGATTTTTTTAGTTTCTTCTGACATCTGGCTACAACTCCCCAAATTAATGTCTCCAGTTATTCTCTCACTCTCCTGACATGGAATCATTCAGCACGAAAATGGCTCTTTTCCTGAAGACATGCCGGCTGCAGCGGACAACTTGAAACAAACTCCAGAGAAGGACCACCGTGGCTCGTGTTTAGATAATTTTTACATCTGTTGCTGTGTGGGCCAGGCAGGAAGTTCACCAGAACACCTGATGACGTTC